TATGTTTTTAAGCCTTGACGTACTTCTTCATCGGTCAGAATATCGAAAGTTTCATATGGAATACTAAAATCAATATAAATATTACATAATTTATACTATTAACGTTTTATTATTTAATCGCTTACCCGACTTTATTTACTATTTCAATTAATGTTCTCGAAAAACCACAACGTGGTGCATTTCGATCACCTTTCATGAAGATCATTACTGGCGCATGATTTATTAATGATTTTAAACGTTCCTCTAACGTTTCACCTGAATTACTACTATTATTTGCTCCAAGCTTTTTACATTTCGTTGTCAAAGCTGCTATATCTACACCATCCACACGGTCTACTGCTGTTCCCGCTTTGAAGAATATAATAGTCGGCACAGCATCAATCTAACAAAACAAAGACGTTATCATCAATATGAATTCGTGATTAGCGCAAGGATTTACTTGATGCTTCAATGATATTTCAGCATATTTTTCTGCATTTAGACTGTAGAATTGTAGCTGCTTTAAAATTTTGGCTAATTCCTCTAGCACTTCAGATACTTGTTTACATTGTTCGGCCCAGTCGGCAGAGAAGAGCACAACTGAAACTTTGTCCTCGCTGCAATCAACAATATTATTAATTACTCTTCACTGATACATTGTGACTTACTTTATTGCATTATTGTATTCTTCAGCAGTTTTAATATTTATTACAGACATATCCAATTAATTTATCACTATAATTTAGATAGAAAAACTAAAAATTTTGTGATTAATGTTTTGTGGTTAGTTGTGAAAGTGAAGGTGAAAAGTATTGCACACTCTTAAGAGAAATATAAACTATTGTGAATTTTACTTTATTTGAGAAAAGTGTTACTTTTTATAAAACACAATTTTTCCCTTTTATTTAACAATTCGACAAAAAAAACTAATAAAAAATATTTTTATATATGTATTAAATTTTAAATATTTAAATATTTGAGTATATTTGATTTTTTTATTTAAATAGATTTTATTTATATAGATAGAAAGAAATAGAATAATAAAGGCACTCGGACTTTTTAAAATATTTTGAAATTCTAATTGATTGGGACAACTTTTGACTCTAAGAATCATTAGGTTTACGCGGTGTACAGTTAGTCAAATTATCTCAACCTAACCTTTGTCATAGCCAGTTCATATCAATAAATGGTTTTAAAAAGCGCAATTATGTCGCTACATTTTTGTTCATATACGTTTTCATACGTGCTGCATGTTTCACGCTTGCTATAGGTACGTTATTGCTTATCTAGGGTTCCACATTGCATAGGATGTTTTCGGTTGAGGAGTTTCGCCGAAGTTGCCAAGTAGATTTATGCACATTACTACAATTATCTATTAGTAAAAGTAACCTTAATGTTAATGTGTATAGAACAATATATAATAATTCCCCTTGTTGAGATATATTCGTAAACATAAGAATTTTGAATATCTATTGTGAATGTTGAAAAAAATACCAAGACATTTCCGCACGTAAAGTAAATACTCATGTATCCAGTATCAATAAACACACGATGAGGTAGAAATTGAGGTAATCCCATTTAATTTTTTCTTATTAAATATTAAACTAATTTTAAATAAGTTTTCTAGATAATGTCAAAACCATCAATATTAATAATAGAACCGTTTTTCGGTGGCAGCCATAAACAATTAATAGAAACGCTGACAGAATGTAATATAAATAGTTTTCTTACAACAAAGTTTTTTAATAACATGTATTTTCTCAGGTTTAAGTGTGCCGGAATATGACCTTTTCACACTGCCGGCAAAGAAATGGCATTGGCGTGCACGCACAAGTGCATTATACTTTTCTCAAATAATACCAACAGATCACATGTACAGAGTTCTTTTTACTAGTTCTGTAATAAATTTAGCTGAGCTAATAGGCACACGACCCGATTTAGGCGATTGCAGAAAACTTGTTTATTTTCATGAAAATCAATTGGTCTATCCAGTTCGTGACGTAAAGGAACGTGATGTACAATATGGTTTAAATCAGATACTTACTTGGTAAGCTGGCGTTGATACTCGTATAACGTCCGTTAAATATTAAATATTATATAGGAAGATTAAATATTCATATTATTATCTCTATTACAGTCTCGCTGCCGATTGTTGCATTTTTAATTCTAATTTTAATCGCACTTCATTTCTTGATAACATACAATCATTTTTAAGCATACAACCTGACTTGAAATTAAAAAACTTACGTGATAAGATTGAGAAGAAATGCGAAGTTATATACTATCCCATAAAATTTCATTCATTTCCTAATAAGCGTTTCATGATTGGAGGTAAAATGACTTTGCCTACGATGGAAAATGATAAAGACTGTTTACATATTATATGGCCACATCGTTGGGAGCATGATAAAAATCCAAAATTACTAGTTGAAGTGTTATTGGAATTAAATAAACGTAAAGTGGAGTTTAAGGTGACGATTTGTGGAGAAACATATAACGCGATGCCAGAAGCATTTGAGGGAATACAAGAAAAGTTGGGCACAAAATTGGTTAACTTTGGTTATCTGTCAAAAGAAAACTATGTTAAGGCACTAATGGCGGGTGATGTAGTTGTATCAACAGCTGGACATGAATTTTATGGTGTTGCTATGTAAGATTTGTGTACTAATCTTAAAAAAATTATAATAAAATTTTTATTTTTATTTTTTTTTAGGTTGGAAGCTACTTATTGCGGTTGTATGCCTATTGCACCTAACAAGTTGGTATATCCTGAAATATATCCTAGTGAAAATCTTTACAATACATCTAATCAACTTATTAAAATGTTATATAATTGGTGTCGGAATCCCGATGTGTTTCGTAGGCAACGTGATAAGTTTTTTGAATATTTTACTTTTGATATATATTCCGCACAACGTTTAGTACCCAAATATCTAGAGAAGTTACGCATATAGGCGTATCCAATGACTATCCAAACATTTCTGTTTTAAGTACAAGTGTCCGTTAAAAACGAATTTATATATAATAACAAAATATTTGGTAAATTATTAATATTTATTGGTTGCAACTTGAGTATGTAACATAAAATACAGTTAGTTGGCATTATATAGATATATTTACAAACCCTAATGTTATTTGATATACCATAGTTTTGAACTCGGAAATAGCATGATTTTAAACATAATTAAAAAAAATAGCTGCAGGGCAGCAGTCAGACAAAACAATCCCATATTTGTTATTTTTATTTGTTTTTGTATAGTTTAAACAAATTTTTTGTTTTTATTTTCAAATACATAATTAATTATATCACTGGTATTTCCATTCTCAAGTAACGAGATCGGCGACGGAGTTGTTTAGTAACAGTGCGAAGCGGCAGGAATGAATACATCGTTTGAATGTATGTATTTTGTTGTTGTCGCTATGTTACTGTGTTACCCCGGTGGTTACTTGAGTTTGTGAATACCACTTTTGTTGCTAATGTATAATATTGACTCCATTAGGTAGGTCTCTTAAAAATGTGACATTTAATAAGTGTATCGCTGCTATTAGTCTAATCAATTGTTATTGGATCCATTCGGCGAATATGAATAACAATTAGTTCAAATTAGTTGATGATATTCGAGAATTCCATCAATTTGAATAAAAGCCATATTACATTGAACCTGTAATAAGTTATAGTTAGTTAGTTAGTTGTGAGGGAGAGAGGAACGAGTTCTCCTCAATTCGCTAAAAAAGCAGTTTTAAATTCACAAAACCTCGTAATAGTGGGTAGTGGAGAGAAGGTCAAGCTAGATCCAACCAGAGGCAGTGAAGAAGAGGGTCTCCAAAAACTCAAGCCTAGTTCATATTTGGACATAGACAGTAATAAGTTATAGTTTATAAAAATTTTTTTTTTATTAAAATGGTAAATTGTTATACTGTTTTGAATAGACATAATACTATGTTGTTAGAATAAATAAGACCATACTAGTTCTGACTTACTGATACAAATGTTATTCAACTGTGTTTCGTCCAATCATAATTAAACAATTATTCTAAATTAAAATTTTTCTTACTAAGTTTGACTTAGAATAGTGACTTTAAGATTCGCATATGGCTCGGTTATTGTCCGCTTATTTTATAAATTGCTTCATATGTTTTGATTGCTTGATTTTAGTGACGGTAGAGCTTCCTTTTTTATATTTATATTATAAAATCAAATAATATTTTCCAAATATTAAATATACGAACTCAATCCTGTTTGGGCATTCCATTTTGAAAAGTTTCAAACCAATTTTATCCTTAATAAAGCATAAGATTCTACCTAAAAAACGATCCCTGCAAGGCATGGTTGGTCGGTTTCAATCGCAGTTCAGCAGACATCCCAAGAAACCTTAAGACATAAAATGAGGACAAAAATTTATTCCTTTCCGTTGAATTTAGGTAATTTACCAAGGTTTTTTATCCTTACCGATGAACAGTCTGACAAACCGTTAAAAACGTGCTTCTCTAAAAACCTGTTTTTTTAAGTTTTAGTGTTTGTATTTTTTTATTGTGTGCAAGAATCACAAACTATATAGTATTATTTGTCTATTTACATCAAAAGTATTTATGAGTTTTATACCGCTATAATAAAATTGACAGTTCTTTTTACCCTGTCCTACTATGGGCCATGTTATGTAGAGTGT